CAACTGCAGAGATTCACTTAACAACTGAGGCAAGAAAGGTTGTAAAATGGGGTAAAATTCACTTAACAAATGTCTCACTTAACAACAGAAATCTTGGGCTCAATTGTGGTCGTAAATCGAGGACTACCTGTATTGGGACAATTCTTGGATGCAGCACAGTTTAGAACTGGAGTGAGAAACCATGGTGCCCTTAGCTGGTTCAAATTACAACTCCCAGAATCTGTGCGCTTGGTCATGATGCTGGGGATAAGAAGGGTTATTGAAACATTTGGAATCCACTAGACCAGTGGTGGACAAATGTGGCTCTTTTACAACCTGTGGACTTCAACTCCCATAAGTCCATAGGTTGTCAAAGAGCCACATTTGCCTACCCCTGCACTAGACTGACCCTCCTCTTAGTTAGAGGGCGCCCTTTTAGGAAGCTCCTTCCAATTGGCTCTCCTGATCCAAAACATCCTTTGAAAAGCCAGGAATTAGAATGGTTAATTCAGTTCTTAAAACCTGAGGAGAAGCCAATCACCCTTGACACAGCATAATGGTTTACTTTTTTTGCTAAAAAATGAACTCAGACTCTGATGTAATGTTTGAATCAAGAAGTGCTTAGTCACAAAGCACAGAATAAATAGAATTTCGTGGTAGAGAATGTAGAAGAACCTTTATATCAATCTTCTGAAGGCAGGAGTAATATGACGAATACAAATAGTTTCACACTTAAGATGCTTGCTCCAAATCAAACTGACAGAAGCATGTGTACACATATACACATACATATACACACACACACTTTTATGTCACTTTGATTTGGAGCAAGCATCTTAAGTGTGAAACTATTTGTATTCATCATATTACTCCTGCCTTCAGAAGATCGATATAAAGGTTCTTCTACATTTTCTACCACGAAATTCTATTTATTCTGTGCTTTGTGACTAAATATTATATATAATATTTCATTTCTTACTATTAAGGAATGTATGTGCCTACTCAAGCGCTTGACAACTTCACAAAATAAAAAGGAACCTATTTCTTAAAAATACTCCATGAAAGTAGGTGCTACTGCCATCTTGTGGCTAGTTACATTACAATCTTTGGAGGGTTCCAAATTCAAGGATAGTATTCCGTATTTGCACATTGCAATTCATCTTGGGTAGGAGAACACCAGGACAACCAAGGGCTGAAGGATAGATTGGAAAATTTAAAAATAAAAAAAAATCCCAGAAAAAGCCAATGGCAAACCATTCCTATTTTGTTGACAAAGAAATTACACAGACATATATAATTATCAGATCAAGTCAAATTTAAGAGAATATTTACCTTTTTATTTTATATTAGGCCCACCAAATAAATACACTTACACAGAGATTAGATTTGAACAGTCCATTTTTGATAGAAGGCCATTTAATTTAAATCCTAGGAGATGCTTCCAATGTATATATTTAATATTAATGTATGGAGTATTAAGTGGATCACGAACAGACAATTATTAGAGAAGTTGTGACTCACTGTGGCTCTTTTCAGGTAGAAGGAAAGTCAAATGTGTCTCATGTAGTATGTAAAACGACGTTGACTTTTATTTTTCATATGGTAACTAAACCTGTTCAGTTAATTATGTTTTCATCTATTTGTTTAAATATAACCGGCATAGCAAATCAGAACATAAGTTTATAAAGCCACTGATTATACTAGAAGAAAGGACCATCTATAGCAAGGGTGTCAAACTGATGGCCCATGGGCCGGATGCATCACATGCAGGCCACGCCCACCCCAGCTCCGCGAAGGGGGAAAATGTCACGTGATGGCAAAGTGACGCCACGAGTTTGACACCTGTGATCTATAGTATGGGTGTTCAAAACTTTTTGCTTGTCTGGACAGCATTGAGTGAACAGAAATTACTAACTTGAGCTGCATATAAATTATATACCATATTTTTCACACTATAAGACATACTTTTTCCTCCCCAAATGTCTGTGTGTCTTATAGAGCAAATATTGAGTCGGGGGGGAGGGTGTTGGTCCCCCGCTGCCGGGGAATGCTGGAGCCTTCACTGCCAAGCAGCTGATTGGCAGCTGGATCGGCCTCCTAGAATACTGCCGAACAGCTGTTCTAGGTGGCGGGGATTCCCGCTGCCTATCACCACCAATCCCTGCTGCCATTCACTGATTGCCGCCTCTGCCGATCGCTGCTGTCAATCGTCGCCGATACCCGCTGCCGAATGACAATTGCTGCTGCCAAATTGCAATCGGCAGCAAATGGCGGCGGCGGCGATCAGTGATTCCCGCCTAGAACAGCTGATCAGCAGTATTCCAGGAGGCTGATCGAACTGCCAATCAGCTGCTCGGCAGCAAAGGTTCCAACGTTTCCCGGCAGTGGCAGCAGTGCAAGCACGCTAGCCAGATGATTACCAGATGGATGCTGGGAGGCAGAGGCAGATATTTTTTTTCTTGTTTTCCTCCTCTAAAGCTAATGTGCATCTTATAGTCCGGAGCGTCTTATAGTGCGAAAAATACGGTAATAAATCTATACAAACCATGTTAAAATTTTACAAACGTGGTGCCTCATTACTAGCTGTCTAGGGCCACATGCAGGTTGGATACACCTGTTTTAGAGCCCTTAATAGGTAGTGAAACAAATTCCAGCACTTGAACAAAGCCAGTGGTGTGTGGCAAGCCAGTAGTAAAGAAACAATATCTGGAATATCTGAGCTTTTCCATTTCATCATTAAAAGGGTACATCAATACAGATAGTCTGCGACTTACAACAGTTCATTTAGTGACCATTCAAAGTTACAATGGCATTGAAAAAAGGGACTTGCAACCACTGCGACATCCCCATGGTCACTTGATCAAAGTTTGGCAACTGGTTCATATTTATGATATTTGCAGTATCCTGGGATCATGTGATCAGCTTTTGTGACCTTCTAACAAGCAAAGTCAGTGGAGAATCCAGTGTCAACTCTGAAGCGAACCTGGCTGAAGCCATTTTATGCTGCCTCATAATTGCCATGAAGCCAGAAAGGGGGAAGGGAAGGGGGAAGTAGATAGCCAGGGTCCAGTCAAAACAAAATGCTTTCTTGTGGGAACTAAGGTCATTGAAACAGGTGGCCATTGAAAGTGGAGAAGAGCCTGTCTTCCATCATCAGAGAGCCAAGGTGGCGCAGTGGATAGAGTGCAGCACTGCAGGCTACTTCAGCTGACTGCTAGCTGCAGTTCGGCAATTCAAATCTCACCGGCTCAAGGTTGACTCAGCCTTCCATCCTTCCGAGGTCAGTAAAATGAGGACCCAGATTGTTGGGGGCAATAGGCTGACTCTGTAAACCGCTTAGAGAGGGCTGTAAAAGCACTGTGAAGCGGTATATAAGTCTAAGTGCTATTGCTATCATTGGACAATGTGACTGGTGACACTTGGGAGGGGGGAGTTTGATTCTTTTAATTATCCAATACGATATCTTTTGAGAAATCTACCTGCCTCGGAGTTATGCTTTTAATGGGTGCATTGCTTGGAACACTGACATCCAGATTCACTTAACAACCTTGTTACTAACTTAACAAATGCAAGGATTCACTTAACAACGGTGGCAAGAAAAGTCGTAAAATGAGGAAAATTCATTTAACAAATGTGCCACTTAGCAACATAAATTTTGGGCTCAATTGTTGTTGTAACTCGAGGACTACCTGTATAAGCAATATTGATTTCTAATGTTATATGCAGCATGTAAACGCCACAATCTTTTGCAAAGCTACATGAGACCATATAATATGACCCAGGAATCCAATGTGCCACAATTATTTATTTGGCAGAAAAATCAGGGAGGGGAGTTTAGCTTAATACTAGTTGCTATTGATTGGTTAGTAATCAAAATTTTATTAAAAAGTTACAGATAATTTCCAAAAGTTCTCAGAACTGGAACCTACAACTCAGAATCTACCAATACCATAATTTTGTTTTACAATAAAAGCTCTCATTACCATGTCTTAAAAATCCTTGGAAAGGTGCAGAAGTCATTGGGGTCCAGAATATTTTCCTTTGTTATACAGTTACAATGGACTATTGATTGATTAATTGTATTGGTATGCTGTTATGTTTGTAAAACACCAAAGCAAGGGAGAAGGACAAATCATAAAGTAATGTACAATGCAAAGGAGGAGAATATGGATTTTTTTTTTCTCTGCTAGAACACTAGATATCACCCAAGGAATTTAAGAAGTGTAAAATTTAGAACAGACAGAACGAAAGGTTTCTTCCTACAAAGCATAGTTGAAGAACAGAATTGCGGAAACCAAATGGCCACCTGATATATGTCACAGGTAACTCACTATCTGGAATCTCACAGAAAGCGTTAGACCTGCCCCCAACTAGTTCTTGACAAACTAGAACCACAGTCAATTACTGCCGACAATTTAGGACTGGAAAAGCCAGGACTATAGTCAACTTATTTCCCCTTTTACTTTCAGAGCTAACTGTGAATCAATCTACTTTTATTCTGACTTGATCACCAATTATATTTAGTAGCATAACCTGGTACAAAATATGGCTAATATTCAGATTTGGTGAAGACATCATACTCACCAAAGTTACTACTGAAACTGCGTAGTGTTAGTAATGGAGAAAGAAGAAAAGAGATGAATGTTTCCTAACTATGGTTAGGTGATTAGAAGAGTAAAGCTATACTTAGGGTTAGAAAGTTGACACTTCAAAACCCATATGAGATACTCCATAGAAGACATTGACTAACTTCACACTTGCACTAAACGGTAACAGAATTTCTCTTGTTTTGAGTAAGTTGTATGGATCCTGAACCCTATTACAGTGATATATAAACCGTGTTTTATAGTGAAACTATTATATATGAATCCAACCACTGTAGATTATTTAATCAATACTTAGATCTTTACAACATCAATATAACATTAATATCCACACTGTTTTAAATAAAACAAAGGGTAACATGAGCAACTATCTAATATGCAACAGGACATACACATCTAGAGAGAAAAAGTCCATACCTTCCATTTTCGGCTAAAATTGCACCTTCGTCCTTCAGATGTTTACTTTGGGCTCCACAGTCTTCCAAAAGAAGCCCCTTTTTCCTTTTGGCCTCATGAAGCCAATCAACTTCACTATTATCAACCAGGACCTGCTCATCAGCAGCTTGAGCTTCGAATTGCTGGGATGTTACCTTAGATACCTTCTCACCAATCTTTCTCTTCCATACAAAGGAAGCCATTCCAGAAAACTGAGAAGAATGCACATTTAATTATTGGTATAATTTTCATCTATACGTAAACACATCTATTTCAATTTATCACATCAATTTACATAGGTAATCGATATTATGTAAGCAATCTAGCCTAAGTAACAAATCCATTTGCTCAAAAAAGCCTTAATTTCTGCTAACAAAAAAGGCTTACAATTTATCATTTTGCTATCTACAGGTGTTCAAATGAATTAAAAGCAACATCACAGATGCTGGCTGGGGAATTCTAGGAGTTGGGAGTCCCTAGATTTTAAAGTTCCAGAAGTTGGCTTAAATTATAAAATGCTAGCCTTTAAATTCATGGGACGTTTATATTATTATTTTCAAAGTACCTTTCAGCCAAAGACAAAGCTTAGGCGTACAGTAGCGGCCAAAATTGTGGAAACCTTTTGGGAAAAGTGTATTTTTGAGGTTTGATGGCTAATAACACCACTTTTTTGGGGGGAGTTTCAAGATAATCATATTCCACTGCTGGAATGGCCTGGGAATATTGAAAATTGAAAATCTATGGAGCCGACTAAAGAAACTTGTTAGTCAGAAGCAATAAAACCCAGTTAATAGAAGCAATCATTCAATCTTGGTTTCACATTATAACAGCTGCAGAACTAAAAGACTTAGTTCACTCCATGGGAAGACATTGTAAGGCCGTAATTTATGCTAAAGGTTACTCAACTAAGTATTAACTGATGTGATAATTTTTGTATATCTCGTTTTTTCTACGTGTTTCACTTTTCTTCTTTAAACTGCAACTGCTGTTCTAATAGCAAATCCTTCATAAAAGTTATTGCATTACATTCTTGCAATGTTATTGTTATTGCATTAAATTATCTTTCTATTGATATATAATTTTATGGTACTCAAAAAAAAAGTGGTGTTATTAGCTAGTTTTACAAAAATACACTTTTCCCAAAAAGTTTCCACAATTTTGGCCACCACTGTATGTCAGCTGCTTATTTATACCCAAGAGGATTCAGTCACTCAAGGCTCAAGGGCCAATTTCAGCATTCCCACCCTTCAGGTTTCCTAAATTTCCAAACATCTGAAGAACTATTAATCTGAAATAATATCTTCCAGTACAGGATTGACAAGAGGCAGAAGCTCTGCCATTGCTGGAACCATGATAGGCACTTTGCCATTCTTGAACTATAAGTCCTAGAAGGTCTCTAGGTGGGACTTAAGGGAGTTATAGTTCCTAAAGCAGAGGTCTTCAAACTTGGCAGCATTAAGACTTGTGGACTTCAACTCCCAGAATTCTCCAGCCAGCATAGCTGGCTGGAGAATTCTGGGAGTTGAAGTCCACAAGTCTTAAAGCTGCCAAGTTTGAAGACCTCCATCCTAAAGTCTTGGGAATACAAAGCAGCCATCAAGGGCTAGGGGCTGTTTTTCAAATACCCCAATCCACCTTTTACATTAGGAAAATGCAAAAAGGTTTTTTATTTGAAAATCGTAGGAGAGAAAAGGACAGAATCCAGTGGAAAGAAGGGTAGCATAATTACCTGGAAGCTCCCGTCTCCAGGGGTGTCTTCCTAGCCCCGTCGTTTGTAGGATAAGCACCAACCGGAAGTGGAAAAACCGGAAATAGCGGCGCTCTGCGCAATATCACATACTCTATGCTCAATTTCCGGTTTGTTTGTTTTGTTTTTGTTCTTTTTTTTTTTAAAGTCTGCTCTAGCATCCAGGGAGAAAAGGAGCCGGGATTGGGGAGTACCACTAAAGGAAAAATACGTTCTGTGTACCGGCCATTCGTTATGTTTATAAAATGAACAGCAGAGGAACTTCAGAGTTCCACGGCGAGCCGTGTCCTGGGATTGCACCGCAGAGCCTACTGGGTATTTTAGTGTTGTTATGTGATCACGTGACCGGCACGGATTGCTACTATTGGCTAGCATCAGAACTTTAACCGTCCCACTTGCTGCGTAGCACGTGTTGTGATTCCTTTGCAGACTTGGGGAACGACGGTCCCTTTATAACTTGTGGACTTCAACTCCCAGAATTCAATTCCCTTTGGCAATGGTGGCTCAGGAATTCTGGGAGTTGAAGTCCACAAGTCATAAAAGGGCCATCATTCCCTACCCTTGCCTTTACTGGGTTAATATCCTCTCCACACAATCTTCATTCAGGTTGGAAGAGACAATGTGAAATGCAAATAGCCCCTTGGCCAATCCAAACAAATGGTGAATTCTTCTGGCTTTGCTGCCCTCCCTCTTCATGTCACTTGCGGGTGGGGGAAGCGTATCTGTCAAAGGGTTGTAGCAATTCCTCCAACCTGGACCTTGAAATTCAGAGGTGAATAGCTTGTTTATATCTTAGTAAGCTATAAACACCTGAACGTCTAAAGAATAGTAAAAAATAAAGTCCCTTTAAAGTTGTGTCCAAACTTGGCAACTTTTAAGACTTGTGGGCTTCAGCTCCCATAATAATGGGAGTTAAAGTCCACAGATCTTAAAATTACCAAGGTTGTACACCCGTCTTAAAACAAGCTTGATTCCAGGTAATTTCACGGTAAATTTGGGTAATTTTCTTGACAGCAGTAAGATTGTTTTTGTCTTCCTCTAGTATGTTGGGTTTTTTTAAACTATCAATCAAAACCATAGTTGTAGGATTTGGGGATGATCTCCCATCCAATAATTAAATCCTACCCTGGATCAGCCAATACAGATCACCACCCCCAAAAAACAACCCAAATGTTGAAACTATTATTTGAGTTGTTTTCCCTCTCATCATTTCTCACAGATCAGAACTGTGGTGGCAACGTAAGTTTTGTAGACATCCACTTTGGAGGAGGATACAGTAGATCAGTATACTCCATATAAAAAGAAGCTGGGTTCATACTTAAGTTATGGTTTGTTTTAATAATTTTGCTGACTTAAACCGTATCAGGCTATATTCATGACTTCAGCTTCTCTGTCTACAGAGAACAGCTGTTAATCAGAGAAAATTATCCTGGGCTTGGTCAGGAATAGGCAATCTTGTCTGTCCCTTCCAGTTATCTCACACTACTAGACTCATAAACTACTAGGACTGATGGGAGTAATAGTATACCAGGCTCTAAAGCCTGGACCACAAAGACTGACAATAATATGATACATCCACCCCTGTTTTCACCAGTCTTATACACTACAAAGGTGTTTCATGTGTGCTTATTTATAATTTACTCATCAAATCCCCTAAGCCTTGGCGGCTGATTGACAATCGTAATAATACCATTAATGAATCCCTGACAAATTTCTAGGAAGCTTGGGATTCCTCAGAAAGTATTGTTATCCTCTGCTCTCCCTGGGGTCAGAGATTAGGCTCTTCACTGAGCTACTACTTCCATTAATAACTGGAGGATCAGAAGTTGTTATTAACCCAATGTCGAAATATATTTCTCCCACTGTAGTAAACCTCCATCAATGTTGAGAAAGTCCCCAACAATTAAGAAGGACAGATGAATTAAGAAAGCTAAGAAACTGTACCATGAAATTTACTTGCATACAGTTTAATGTTTGTTAAAAGTAACAGGTCATATACAGCTATCACAAGCAATTTCATTCAATATTGATCCCCCCCAAAAGAGAGAGAGAGAGAGAGAGAGAGAATATGCAATAAAAGTAGGCACATATTGTTTTTGAGAAATGGTGATCATCCATTTCATAAGCAATACAATGGTAAAAATCAATTGGCAAAATTATCTCAAACTTTATACTGATTGAAAAGTTAAAAATGACAAAACATGTGAAAGTCAGCCTTTGGAAAGATTGCACTACGAAAATGGATGGGATTTTTTTTTTTTTTTTTACTTTTTACCAATGTTAAGAATTTACATTGCACAAGGTTTCCACTTCCTACGTCACCCCCCCTTTTTTTTCCACCAATCAATTATGAAGTGTTTGCAATAAAAACAGATCATCTAAGGGCTTTTCCACTGGAATGAGCCCAAAGGAACAATATTTGAATAGGCTGCTTAGTCAAGCTATACACTTCTGTTATTTTTCATTTTTAAAATAGATTTTTTTTTTCTCTTCACAGTTCCCATCATGGTCAGTTCTGCAAAGCAGCTCGTATTTCATGATCAATGGCCCTGACCTTCCTGTATCACTAAGAAGTGCCAGCAAATAAGCTCTATAGGACCAGACAAGACCTGGGTTAAAAGGGGGAAAAGTAATTTCAACATCGATATTTTACTCTAAGTCTAAAAATTGTTACAAAAACATTTGATTCATTTTTTTTTTGCTTGAATACATCCAAGATATTCCTCTGCCCAAGTTAACAAAAAATTAAAAAGGGAGCATTGAAATGGCTTTTAAAGAAAAATTACAAAATTCTGTATTTAAGAATAGGCAACTGTACCTTTTTGCTATGTACTTTGGCCCTCATATTCAAAAGAAGTTAAGGCCTGATAATGTGACACCCCCCCTCCAACACTCAATAAAACTTATATACATTAAAAAAAATTAAAAGTTTTATACATGATAACATTTCTTAGTGTAGACACCGAATATAAAATCAAGCTGATGAGGCTAGCAGATATCGTCCATTCATTTCAGCTGGATTTGAGCAGGAAACATACCAAAGCTACAGTTAAATATGCAGACAGATTTAAAAATATGGAACCCTGAAGTCAACACAATTTTACTTCAGGTTGGATTTACTTTTAGATCCACTGAAACAGAGAAACATGTCACTTATGGTTTACACACACTAATTTTTAGGTATTTTTTTTTCCAAATTTAAGATTGTAGCCTGACAAAAACAATTTTGAGCTATGAAGGGAAAAAAAAGGTCGTTTATGCCATTTGCCAAGTTCAGTATTAACAATTCCAAATTAAGACAGCATCAATAAAAAATAAATCACAATAATTGTAAAGATGCAGCAGAGCAAGATTTAACAAGTAGTTTTATTTTCTTGTTGTAAATTAAGGACTACTACTTGGTCCCCAAGACAACCATCTTTCTTTATATATCACAGCAACACTATTTAGCTACCGACTCCTTTTACACACACATTTACACACCCCGCCGCCCTTTTCTTCCCACACATTTTATCTCTTTTGGAGTACATATTCGTGACTGCGAGTCAAGTTCAGTTATAAAATCACTGTTTAAATTCTGGGAAGTAATGAAGTATGAAACTATATCATAAGACCACCTTAAGTGTTCGCCTCTAAAAAGGCCAGCACATGGCAAAAGCCCATGGCTCCTGACCATAGCACAAATTTTGAAGTTCAATGTCTACTTAATTAAATTATTGAAACAGTGCAGCTTCTGAATTCATGCATTTATAGACTGAACCAGGCTTCTTCAGTGCATCTTGAGTTGCTGATTCAAATTACACTAGATACACATTATTGTATTCAAATCCAAGCATCTCTTTATAGGCTGTTCTTAAATTCTTTGCTGGGACAATTCAGTTGGGTACCTCACTTAAGTTGGGTACCTCTGCTATACATTCCCATCAAAGTAAAAGACTTGACTTTACAAGAGGAAGCCAAGCTAGTGTCTCCTTGATAATGGCTGGTGTACAGTTTTTATTACCCTGCTTAGCATGGAAATTGGAGGCTGATGATAATTGAAATCATATTGCAAAACATTCCAAAGGCACCACATTAAGAGATCTGTTCTCTGGCATCTGCGCATCTTATAAGAAGGCTCACACACTGCTTTGTCATTGTTTGCTTAACCATGGTTTGTTGAATAAGCCACAATTGTCTGGGCATACGTATCATAACCCATGTCTGCTGAATCACAGTCTGTTAATAAGCTACAACTAGCATAGCTTTACAGTGTAACAGCTGGGGGGGGAGGGGTCACACAACATGCTAAGCCAAGCAGAAGCTGTTATGCCATAGCATGATATATGAACAAAACCCTAAGTCTCATTAATAATCATATATTAATGGATGTTTTTCTTAATCATATGCATATCAAATCACAGTGAAGGATTTGCCTGTGTTCTGAAATTTTCACTTAGTGCATCTGCATTACCCATGAACTAAAGCATTGCATCTGTACCAAGCAAAAATCAATTTCAGCCTCTTTTCTGTTTTTAAGATGAAAACTCCGATTGCTGCCTTATCTTAACTGTGGGCTTGTTGGCAAGGAACAATATCTCATGATTTCTATTTCTTCCACACCATTAGCACAACTGATAACAAAACTAGGACCAATATAACTAGTACAGTAAGTCACATAGACTGATCTCAAGAATTACTAAAAGATCCTCTACAGTGGGTAAATATAAACAGAATTCTTGTCAACAATAAAAATAAGGGGGGGAAAGTAACATCTTAGTTTGTTATAGCAGTTGTGGAAGCCAAGAGGTACAGAGAGGACATCAAAACAAATTCATAAACACAAGAATCTGGTTTATCATCTCATTTCAATGGGATTTATACATTTGGAATCTTAATTTATATGCCAAGAATAATCAAATTGTGCAAATCGTGGTTAAGTGTTATGTCTTCACTAAACAAGAATTGCTGAAACATGATACAGTATTTAAACACCATTCTATAATTTTAATCAGTTTAAATTAAGCCTCCTTTAATTCTTTAGTGTAATTTTATCCAATAAAAAAAAAACCAAGATTTTTCACAGTAGAGAGAGGGAAGATTTTCTCTAGCAGTTTTTCAATAAGAAAATTTAATTTGTGGCAGCTGACTCATTTCTGACCTAACCAATTAAGTTCTACACATATCAAAACAAAACCAAAGTTACTTCATCTTTCAAAACTTTTAGAAATCTTAATTCGGTATATATAAAAGCAGTATAAAAAAGTGATTATGCAACACAGGCAAAATCCAGATCACTCTTACTAGAAGAGTGATCTGCTAGAGATCTGTATGAAAGCTATATGAAAACAGCAGCCACTGAAATCCCAGGGCAGGGCA